TCAACTTGGAAGCACAACTTATAATTTTTTGTTTTCTGAATATATTTGAATATCTTTTTTACCGCATGACAATAAGTCATCCTAGGGTTATTCTGAAATCTATTTACAAGACCATATGCATGACTCAAATCAAGTCTTGTACACAACATGACATAATTTATGCATCCTACAACTTGAGCATATGGAATTCTTTCCATTTCCGCTTTGTCACTATCATTTACTAGACATATTTTCTTTGACAATTTTAAGCCTTTACAAACAGGTGTGTTTATGGGCTTACAAATTTTCATCTTAAATCTCTTTAAAACACTTTCTAAATAATTTTCTAGAGATAAACATTGAAGTCTTGAACTTCTATCTCTTGTTATCTTAATGCCCAATACATATGAGGCTTCTCCCATATCTTTCATCTCAAAATGGGAACTTAGCCATGATTTGGTATGGTTAATCATGCTAATGTCATTACTGACTATCAAAATATCATCCACATTAATGACAATATAACAAAATTGCTCCCACTATTCCAGACATATACACAATGGTCTAGCATATTGGCTATATAACCAATTTCAGTGATTGCATTATGAAAAGTATAAAGTACCATTGCCTAAAAGATTGTTTTAGACGTATAAAGATTTCTTAAGTTTGTATACTTTATCTTATTGGCCTTTAAGTACATACCCTTCTGGTTGTTTTATATATATATATATATATCTTCTTTTTAATTCTCCATTTAAAAAAGCTGTTTTGACATCCATCTGAAATAATTCTAAATCATAATATGCAATTAATGTTAGGATGATCCTAATAGATGAAAATTTTGCTACAGGAGAATAAATCACTATATAATTTATACCCTCCATTTGGGTAAATCTTTTAGTTACCAGCCTAGTTTTATATTTATCAATGGATCCATTTGCATTAAGCTTTTTCTTTATGACCCATTTGTAACCGATGGATTTTTTATCTTTAGGGAAGTCAACCAACTCCCAAACTTGATTTCTTTTAATTGAATCAAGTTCATCATTCATGGCTTGAATCCACTCAACTGAGTCATGTGAGCTAATTGTTTCACTGTAGCTTTAAGGTTCATCTATTGTATCCTCACTCATTGAAGAATAATTATCTTCATTCATAAATACATAAAATTCTTCCAAAGTCGTAGGTGGGGCTCTAATTCTTTAAGGCGTATCTGCTCTACTTGATTCAATTGAATCATTCTTACCAAATGTAGGAGTATGAGAAACTAGGTCTTCTAGACTTTTATCTTTATCAATTTTATGAAGTCAACAGACATATTTAAAATATTTTCATCATCTATATTTTCAACGAAATGAGCATCACGACTCTCTACTAATGATCTAGTATCAAGGTTATAGAATCTATACCCCTTAGTATTTTCTGAATAGCCTATAAAAGAGCATTTTATAGTTTTACTTTGTAATTTATCTATATTTTATGGTGTTATAAGTACATGTGCCTAAGAACCCTAAACTTTCAAGATAATAAGGTCAGGTTTCCTACATGTCCATAATTCATATGGGGTCAAGTCTATAGATTTTATTAAAACACGATTAATAATATACATTACAATGTTGAGAACCTCTTCCAAAAAATGAGGTGATAAATTTGAATGGCTCAACATAGACCTAACCACGTTCATTAGAGTTCTATTTCTTCTTTTAGCTACATCATTTTGTTGTGGTGTATATAGCATAGTTATTTGATGAATTATACCATGCTCCTTACAAAATTCGGTAAATAAGGTGGAGCAATATTCATCTCCTCTATCCGTTCAAAGAATTTTTAATATGTCTTCCTAAATGATTTTTAATCTCAACATTATATCTTTTAAATGTTTCTAAAGCATTTGATTTTTTACTAATTAGGTATACATATCCATAACGTGAATAATCATCTATAAATGTTATGAAATATTCCATACCTCTATGTATTTTATATTTAATAGGTCACATATATCAAAGTGAACAATACGAAGTAGTTTGCTAGACCTTTTCCCTTTAGAAAAAGGTTTCTTAGTTAATTTTCTAGAAATACATGGCTCGCAAGTTTTGAACACAATTTTTCCTAAATTGGGGAATAAGTTTTTTTAACCATTTGATTCATTTTATATTTATTGATATGTCTTAATCTTAAGTGTCATAAATATGAATCATCTATACAAGCAAAAACATCAAAAGAGGCATCAGAATAACCAGAAAACGATGAACTTTCATTAATATTCAGTCGGTACAAATTATCAACTTTAGTACCATACATTAATGCTTCCCAATGGTGACCCAACCAGACCTGAACCTTATTTCATAACCCTCGTCGTCTAGCCTAGGGACAAAAATCAAATTGCGCCTCATATTAGGCGCATACAATGTATCAGTCAATAAGAGATTTGTTCTTCTTGGTAAACACAGCTTGAAAATACCAACACCTATTACATTGCAGTAGGTATTATTTCCCATGTAAATCCGCTGGTTACCGGCTGCAATCTCCTTCAATTCTGTGAATCCATCCTTGATCATCGAGACATGTCGAGTGGAGGCTGAGTCGACCCACCGATGTCTCAGGTCATGGTCGGCAACTATTGATTCTAGGACTATGCAGATCAAGTCTTTTCTTTTATTTTGATTATTTCGAATATGGTTGTTATCCTGGTTCCTATTTTTATTTTTCAGCTTAGAACAATTAAACTTGATGTGCCAAATTTCTTTACAATAAAAGCAGGTCTTCTCAACCTTATTCTTTTGATTTTTAAAATTTCTCCCCTTCCCTTATACTTATTATTTTTCTGATTATTGAAAAGTTTCTTGGGGATCTGAGAAGATGAACTTTGCCAAAGTGGAGCTCATTTGACTTCTTCCTCGTTCTTATCTCAGCTTTAATATTGAGATGCATGGTAAGATTTAACATGGTTATCCCTTGTGTAGAACGATTCATTGCAATTACAACAGACTCCTAAGAAGGAGGGAAACTGTTAAGGACAATGGACACTTGTATGCGGTGGGGGATTGGATTCCTGGCTGCAGCAAGGTCCTTTGCGAGTACTGTCATTTTATTAACATGCTTGGTCACTGAGTTTGATTCTTTCATTCTGTAAGAATTGTATTTTTCTAACAACAATTGTACATGGGTCTCAGAAGTGGTTCCATACTTTTTAGATAGGGCACCCATCATATTTTGAGCTGTGGTGTGATCCTCAAAGACACTAATCAACATAGTAGTTCTAGCTACTTTGTTATCTTCCATAAAGCTCAACATAGTAGTTCGAGCTACTTTGTTATCTTTTAACCATTTGTCAAGTCGTCTTCTAGCTTGACCATTGGCATTAGGTGCTAAAACTGGCGGTTCAGTATCTAGGACATGATCTACCCTATCTTGGAAAATAATATGTCCAATTTTTTTTTTCCACATAGAAAAATCGGTCCTATTGAGTTTTCAAATTTAGATAGTGGTGACATGACTAGCCTAGATGTCATTTTAAATTTTTAGATAATACCCAAAAGTTCAAAAAATTTAATTTTGATTAAGAAAGGATTGTCTGCTAGTTAAATCAATAGGTTTGCCGACTCTCAGTGAGTTGTAACCTCAAAGAAAAATTTTCTCAAACAGTTTATGTTCGCACTGCTGTGATGCAACAAAAAATTAATAAAGTAAGGCAACAACTAATTTAGGCGAGACTAAAAAACCAGGCCATTGTAAAGCATCAAAGTGAGAATCGAAAAATTACAGCAGCATACTCATAGGAATCTCTTGCTCTGATACCAATGTTGGATTTTTAGGGAAGAGATGGACCCCCAAACTCTAGGATTTGTTGACGGTATCGTGAGACTGCGGATCGCAGAGTGGAGGATTTTCCTGAACAATGAGAACTCAAAGTTTCTCTGCGTATGCGTCTCCATGGCCATGAAATGCCTAATTATGGAGGGATGGAGGAGGCCGTTCTCCATCGTTCGATTTCTACTGAAAACTATGAGAAACGTGACTCATAATCTTGGGAGTTGGGTAGCTATCATCTACCCATTAGATAATGACTATTCTCTCTCTAAAAAATGCCCTTATTTAGTTATAAACATAATATTTATGATAAAGATTAAAGAGAGAAAAAAATAGCATATATGAGGGCCCATGGCCACCTATACATACCAACAATTTTACTCCTGTGTGTCGGCATGATGTATTGATGGATAATGTCATGTGTATACACAGGTCCCTAAAGAGTTTGGAGAAGTACTTGCCGTCCCTATCAATCCTTGGGATTTTGATTTTCATGTTTGTTTGGTTCTCTACCTCGGCTTTTATTTTTTGAATTGTTCTAAAGCTTTGGATTTTGGGCATCAAGTATATGTGGCTATAATGCAAATGGTCATCAATAAATGTGATGAAATACTTTTTGTGGCTTTTGGTAGTCACGTTTAAAGGACTGCAAAAGTTTATTAAGATTTATTTTTTAAAAAAAATTATTTATTTTTTCATTTTCATGATCTCCATGTTAGAGATTAGATTTCTAAGAGGGGACTAATTTTTACGTGGACTCATAGAAACCGCGTCCATATATAAATATGATTACGGGTGAGGGGTCATTTCGTTAAGGTTGGGTTCTTTATGCATATAGTTATAATATTACCTTTGAAGAGAACACATTTTATTTATTTATTTATTTATGTTTGCACATGATTTTAAAAAATTTGAATAAAGAAGTTCTCTCCAATGACTTTATCAATGCCAATAGATTTAGATGTCACAACATTTTCACTGAAAGAAGCTTTTAAATGAATTATCATGGAACTCATTAGTCATGCCCAATATAATTTTTTTTATGTGTACAACATAAATATTCAAATCAATGACTTGCTCCCCAACCTCAGGAATTGGTCATTTCGACAAGACAATTACAACAGGAAAATGAAAGGGCATCACCTATTTTCCTCTAAGGAGGAAGGTGATTTTGGCATATGAGAGAGAGAGAAAGAGACCGATCATTTTATGGTTTGAAAGAGAGTAAATTAACCAAAGAGATTTCTATATGCCTTCTAGGGCAAGTGGCACCCTGGTATAAGATTACAAGAAATTTTGACAATAAAATTTTATATTTAAGGGGAAGTACATGAGTTAGTACCCCATACAGCTCATGTAGACCAGGTGTCAGCCTAAGTTCGCCACTGCTGGGCTTCTGCCTTCTACAAAGCAACTAATCATTATGCAATTTCGTAGTTCAAGAAGGAAAGATTATATCCCTCTCTTTGGTAAGTAAACATTGGTTTTCATTTTTCTTGTTTTGTGATTATTCTGTTTTCTCTAATTAGGAAGATTTTGTTATTTCTTAATTTTGAAGAAATAGGAAGGGCATGACTCCCTTTTATTTCTAGTCTCATATAGGGATGGATGTGTTTGTCAAAAAAGTTTCTTTTGGTCTTCTAGAAATCAGAATCAAGGAATTATTTTATTTATTTCTGTGATGATAATGAATCCCTTTTGTGTTACCAATAATTATAATTCTTTTAGCTTCTAGTTTTATTTTTAATTGGAATTTGTTATATTGTTGGAGAACTTGGCTAGTTGTGTGAGGAACCATCTCTTTTGTGCTGCTATATGGTGCTTTAGCTCAAAATGCAAAACTGAGTGGTGACCTTGAAACCATTTCCTTCTTATTGGGTAAAACAGCAAGCAGTTGAACTTAAACTGTTGCGGATAGAGCTGGTAACAACCGCCTGGGGAGGGCCAACCTAGCTCCCTACTGGGTCAACCTCGACCCATCTCGGCCTAGACTGAAGGGGTCTTGGCGGGTCTAATGGGTTCTTTAAAAAAAAAAAGAAAAGAATTGATAATAATAATAATAAACAGTAAAAGAACTAAGAAATAACACTTTCCAGGCCAACCCGACCTAGCCTCCATGTTGTGATGAACTTGATCTCGAGTGTCCCAGACCCTAGTCTTTCAAGGCCAGGGCTGACCGGGCAAAGATTGGGCTGCTTTGTCTATTGTCAGCACTAGACATGGATCTCAACCTCGACCAAGAAGGTGAAATGCTTTCTATAAGGAAAGAGCTCAAAGCCAGGAGGTAGTCAAGGTGGATGGCCGCCACAATCTGAAGTTTTTATTCTTAGGCTACCTTAAGTAAGGGTTTCTTCCTCACTAAGCTACCAAAAAAAAATTAAAAACAAAGACTTTTTCTCCTTCTCAATTATTGTTTTAGGCGCTAGTCAACAAAAACCACCTTAATCATCTTTGCAAACCACATCTCATTTCTATGAAACGTGAGAAATCTATTTCATTCGGGATATCCAGGAAACCATACTGCATCAGAGAAGCTTTGCATGATTATCTTTGTTTAATTGATAATAAAAAAATAACTTCCTAAACAAATAAAAATGAAAAAGTTATACAAAGAGAGCATTATCTTTTGGAAAAGTATACAAAGAGGTCATTTATTTTAGGAAGAAAGTTTATATAATTGTGAGGCTTTAAATAATCAAATTAAGGCGCGTCTCAAAAGTTTTACTAGAAAAGGTTGTTTTGATGTCCAAATATCTTTAAATTGATTATATTGACCTCAAGATGCATGAATATGAGAAAAAAAATGGATATTAAGTTTTGGAAATAGTGCATATTGTAATACATTTTTGGACTGTCAATTTTCAAGATTTTATAGTTTTTATAGATCTAATCGATCTACACTATTTTTTAAGCTTTAAATTTTATAATTAGAGATAAAAATATATTTTAAGACTATTACAAAAATTTTCAGTATTAAAACCACGTTTCTCAACACTATTTGAAGATGGGCTTTACTTTGATTGTTTAGAACCTCAATCCTATACAAAACACCTTTTTGGTTGGTTGTAAGAGTGCGACGACTCAAACATATAAAAAAAAATCTCAAGCCATCCTATTTGACAGCTTGTGGAAGCTCTGACGTCCTTGTAAAACAAAAGTAACATTCATTTGTTGCAAATTGGAGCTTTCCTATCGGTTTCGGAACTGATTTCACGTGTCGCATGGAAGTACTACAAATATTTAAGATAACTAGTGGGCGTGTACAATCTCTTGTGGACCAAATTGTACATTTGGACTTGAGGTGAAAACACCTTATTGGAGGGACTTGCATGTCTGAAACTTTATAGAACATTTTGGGTGAATCCTGTGTTCAATTTCAAAACATAAAAATAATAGAGTGATAACGAACGCCTCAAGTCCATCAAAATGGCTGGTCATGATCCAGATTTTGATTTAGAGCACGCTTCGAGTTTTGGGCTCTAAATCATACTTTTTAAAGAAACATAGGTCTTAGTGTTTGAACACGAGGTGTTTTGAGGTCTGTCCAATCCCCCTAAATGTTTAACAAGCCCGACCAAATAAACAATTTAAAGACCAACTAATGTTTTTCCACTATAAGCCGGAAAAAAAATGAGGAGAAAACATATTTTAATGAGTAACGATCTTAGGAGACCGTTCCACACCCATGTGTCTAGGACCCCAAAGGATCACCATTAATTTGGCATAGATCTATAGAAAAGTTATCACATGGGTGTGGGACTTGATTTTTCTAGTGATCTGTATCAAATTTAATGGTGATCTTTTGAGGTCCTACATGTATAGATGTGGGAGGGTCTCATAGGATTATTACTCTATTTTAATAGTTACGTAACTTTTTAGATGATAATAGGTACCACCTTTCTCTCTTGAAAATTTATTCGGAGTGGACCTAATCACTTCTCGAAGATAAAAGCAAAATTATTATATGGTCCAGCCCACCATTGATATTAAGGTGATTAATGACGATTTGATCATTTTCAGATAATATAAGAATATTTAGGTTTTGATGGGCTATGACCATGTGTTTTAGGTAGCTGACCTTACCACCTAATCTGAGCCCAAAATGAAATATAAAATGAGGGTGGGAAGAAGAAATACCAGCGAGGAATCTTGAAACAGAATGATAAGATGTGCCTCCCTGATTGGTATTAGATTAGCCCATGACACATTTGAGCCCCCGCCCCCATCCTTCCTCTTTGCCTCCTTTGCCCTCCCCTGCCAAGGGTTCTCAATGGGCTCGAAATCTTGCTCTGCCCTAAAAACTAGGGTCTAAGTTACAAATAAATGGACTAAGCAGTGGTTTAAAAAACAGATCGATGACTTGGATCGGACATCCCAAAAACCCATCTGAATTGGTGAATCGATGATCCGGATCAGAAATCGGTCGAATCGATCGGATTAAGTTTTAAAAAAATTATTAAAGTTCATTATAAATGTTGTTTTTTAAGAATCCAATAAGAAATCAGGATACTACATTATTAATTTTCATTTTTTCCATCAATATGTGAATATTTAGTTTTTTTTATATGTATGAACTTATTTTAACAAAAATACTTGTTGTATTTTTTTAAAAAATAAGGAATGAATTTTTTTTGACAAAAATATGAACTTATTTTAACAAAAATAAGAAATGAGTTTTTTTGACAAAAATACTTGTTGTATTTTTGTTTATAAGAACTTTTTATTTTTTTGACAATAACTTTTTATTTTTTATTTTTTGAAAAAAATCTTTTAGTTTTTTTGATAAGAAAAAGACTTGATACCTTTCATCTTTTTTTATACGAAACATTTTATTTTGTAGATAAGAAAAAAATTTTGACAAAAAGCAGAATTGATAAAAACCTTTTATTTTTATATTTTAGAAAAAGCCTTTAATTTTTTTTATAAGAAAAAAATTTGACAAAAAATTTCATTTTGTTTATACGAAATTTTTTATTTTATTGATAAGAAAAAAATTTGACGAAAAGCGAAATTGATAAAAACCTTTTATTTTTTGGATAAGAAAATAATTTGACCAAAAAAGAAAAAAAAAAAAAACTGGTTCAAGAATCGAACCCACATCGATCACATTGAGGACACACAACAACTAATAGGACATTTGCAACTTAGTGTTTATAAAACAGTTAACAAAATATATAATGTATGACCATCTTAAGGTATTACCTATTCACATAGTCCCACATCGAAGAGAGAGAAGCAAATTTATATGTAGTTCTTTGTACTCATTTTTCGTAGCACGTGTGAAGCACTGAAATTATACGAAGCGTGTGGATTGTGAGCACATGTGTGTGAAGAACTTAGGGCCGCGTGAAGCGTGTGGGGGGTCCTTTTGCCTCGAAATTCTTTGAATTTTACGAAAATACCCTTGACTGCGGGTCCTGACGTCATGAATCGAAGAACCGGGGCAATTATTATGCGAACCGGGCACGGGTGCTGACTCGAAGAACCGGACGAATCGTCGGTTCCTATCTAAAACCAGGCGATTCTCGGTTTTACAAAAGAATCGATACGGGATGACCGATTCCCGATTCGAATCGACCGACCGACTCGGCTATTTTTAAAACACTGGGACTAAGGGATGGGCCAAAGCTAGACGTCATGGCCCGAGGTACAAGCTTAAGCCAATGCTACGTTAAGGCTAGCTTGACCGGGCGCGCTCATTTTTTCTTATTATATTTGTGTTTTTTTTTTTCCTTTGAGTCTATTAGTACCACTTAAGCCCGGATTGCAAGGGTCCCTTCGGCCTGGTCAAAGCTAGGCAGAGCTCGGCCAAGGCTTGCTTGGACCAGGACCAGGACCAGGCCCTGGACAGTGTTGTCTCTACTTTTTTCTCCTATCATACACAACAAGAGACAGAGATTCCCTGCTTTTATTCCAACATGCGAGAGAGGGACAGACGTACCATTGTAAAAGATCAAAAGATTTTATGCTTTTGCAGGAGCATATTGTGTACTTACTCCCTCCGGTAAAACCAATTTAAGAGTATTTTTAAGATACTAAGTTAAATTTCGGAGCTCAGAAAACAAAAAATTGAATTGCATTTCGTAAGTCTTTGAAAGAAATGACATTACAATGTGAAAAAGACGATCCATTTTTGGAAGGTAAGAACTAATAGTTGAAGAAAGCTAAATCTTTTTTTTTGTTTTTTTGTTTTTATGTTTCTTTTGGGAACATATTTGTCTATTGATTATTGAGCACATTCCAAAAAATTATACGTTAAAAAAATCTTCCCACTTAGCTCTTTTACCCAAGGGAGTAAGTATATGATGTAATACAGCGGAAACTTAACATTGTACTCAACAAAATTTGGACACTTACAAACTCCTGTTTTGCATATGAAACTTTGAAGTGATATCATACATTATGAAGATGACATCACACCCCTCCTAATGATTAAAAATACCCTTATAAAAAAATGTTTAATGTACAA